TCAGAAGAAAGAAACCCACAAAGGGTTGGAACAACTTGAGGGTGAGTAGCTATGATGACACATTTTTTGGGTGAACCAGACAATAGTCTTCTGTTTATTTTAAGCGCACACTGCTGTTTTGTCGTTTGCCTCTTTAAATGCTTGAGATCTTTAAGGATTATTCAAGATCATTTTTTTTTATTGTTAATCAGCAGAAAAAAAATAATAATTGTGAAAGTGATCCCAACCATATCATTCCTTTGTGCAGATAACGTAAACGTTTTGGAGTGGACTCGGCTATTCTTTCACAATTTTGAAAGATTTTTAAAACTGTCATTATTGTTATCGTCCTTGGTGTGAATGGTTCAAATGACTCCAGCTGTTTTTACATTAAAAATAAGGTTGATTTCATCTTATTATCTTCAACTCATGTGAGTATTATCTTCATCATCAACTATTACTGTACTGAGTGTGCACCGTTCAGCTTCACCGCTTCACAAGGCACTATTTATTTCTTAATGTGTAAAACTATTTAAATGTCTTGATGGGGGTCTTGGCAGACAAGAACGCAATCCCTGAAATGTAAGCTGCAGCAGAAATGGGTTAGTGAATCCACGTCTTCACTGGGAATACCACTGAGAAAACGTGTGCACTTCCTGTTTTGCCCTTCTGAGAAAGTTGTCACCTTGCAATGGTTTTAAGAGTCTGCCTAATATATCCGAGGACCAACAGAATCCCTCCCTCCTGGGGTTGTACAACTGTCCATGCGTTAGGATGTGGGACTACACCAGTAGGAACTGGCCTTTTGTAAAGCTCTTTTTATTTGAATGCTACAGTTTATTGACAAATGAGAAGTGACCATCTTCACAGGAAACTTGACTGGGAATATTATGGAGGTCTATTACAGTAATAAAGTTTTTCCAAAGGTTAGTATACTTGTTTACCAAGTAAAAGGACCTGCCAGAGCTGTCCTTATTTTTGAAACTTATTATTGGATATTTGGTGTAGTAGTCAAGACATCGGGACAATAACTTATTTCTTTATATAATACTAACTTAATCTATCACTGCATTATTTGTCACACCAAAGGACATTGGTGAAATTGGGCATTATGAGAGCAGAGAGTGATTTGTGGGTTTGTATGTACAGTTGCCAAAGAGCTGAATGTAGGGCCCTATATCAATTTAACAGAGAGAAGACAAGACAAGACAAGACAAGAGAAGAGAAGAGAAGAGAAGAGAAGAGAAGAGAAGAGAAGAGAAGAGAAGAGAAGAGAAGAGAAGAGATTCACAACAACAAAACCTCCACAGTAAAACCACAATCAAATATGAACATATTACATGTTAAATAGACGCCCTCTACTGGAGAAACAAACGACGTGCATAATAAACTAACAGCTACAATAAAGAAATACTTTGTGTGTCACCACTCAGTTCAAATTAGTTGTATCTATTAAATAGACTGATATTGATATATATCAATAGATACTGAATTTCTTTTTTTCTTTCTTTTTTTTTAATCCTGACAAACTCAATAACAATTCATATTAAAGTGGTCATATGATGTTGCTAAAAAGAACATTATTTTGTGT